TAAGACCTTCTGAGGCATTCGGCTGTGAGGTCTTCTCAAGAACACAGTAGATTTATGGCTAGATTAACCACTGGTATTTTAGGTACCTTGACAGAAAAACGGGGAAAGCATTTTAAATGATTATCAGTGCTGACAAGAAGAAAACAGTGGAAATGGAGTTTAAAAGAACTCAATTCTGCCTGAAGGGCTAAATTAGATCTATTTTACATCTATATAAATTCTCTGGTGGTGCTCAGGCAAGGAGAAACTTAACCCTAGCGGTGATGGACTTACAGAAGGCTCAGCTCACATGTGTTTTTGTTGGAGCATTCACACAGCTGACAAAGTTTTCCCAGAGCAGGGTTCAAATATCTTGTTTTAAACATCTCACTCTGCATTTGAGATCTCCCTCGTATAAACCCAGCTGGGAGAGAAACAGAACAAGCACTGAACACACACCACTGACCACTCCTCCCACACAGGAGGGCTTGCACACCTTCAAACCAAAGGCAAACTGATTAAATTGCTGCCGAAGCTACTGTTAGCCGATTCTCTGCGGGACTCTTTCCATATTGGGTAAATAATCATTCACAGAGGAAATTCTTGCTCCTCTATGCATATTAAGAAGCATACTAAGGGAGGGCAGAGATAAAGGAATAGAAACTATTTGCAAAATGGGGCAGTGCATCACCACATGCAGAAAACAGACCAAGACGACCTCCTGCTCAGAGCAGGATCAGACATGCAAGGTCTAGCACAATTTTGTGGAGATCCATAGCACACCGACACCCCGAGAATGAACTGAGGATGGAAAGAAATCCCCTTGCTAAGCTAGCAGTTTAGGTAGTAGTTTCTTGGAGGAGTTAAAAATGCAGCTGGGTGGTCTCAGATGTGCACAGCTCTCAAGAAGCATGTGAAAAAGCTCCTAGGAGATTTGGGAGGTCTAAGGCACTAGCTCCAGCACAGAGGGCTGCTCAGCTGCAAAACCCTGCACTGCAAAGAGGGACTTGCCCCTTTGTAAGCACTGGGGAGAGTCCCAGACCTAGGAACTGGACTCAGATCAGCTTAAACATTTAAGAGGCATTGGGGACCCAGTTCACGCACAACACAGTGCTCCACTAGTCATGCCAGAGGAGGTGCAAGCTAAGCCAGGCTGGAGAGCCTTGACAGGACTGAGCCGAGAGCGGGGCCAGTGTCTCAGCCAGCTCTAGTACTGATCTTTCACTCCTCGCATCTCCTGGAGGAGGATGAAGTGTTTGGGGGATGCAGACCACAGGGGAGCTGCTTGAACTCCTTGCTTTTTGGTGCTACTCTTGAGAAGATCGGCTTTCCTAACATTTTTCCTTTCTTTCTCAGGGAAGGCTCCAATGCCGCGACCTCACTACAAACCCCAAGAACCCAACGGCTGTAGTTCCTATTTTCTGGGGCTCAAGGTACCCAAAAGTGTATGTACTGCCACACTCACCATTCCCAAATGATGCAATTCTCTAATCACAGTAACCAGCTAATAATACCGGGGAGGGAAAAGGCTTAGCTGTGCTACGCGGGGACTGTGTGATGGCTTCTCTTTGCAGTTGAAGCCAGAGCCCTGGAAAAGGGAGGAGATATTACTCAAGTGGTGTTAGGGGACAAGTTATCTGCTTGGGACTACCAGAAGACTTGACTGCCTGCCAACGGCAGGCAAGGCGAACATGTCAGTCTTAGCACTGCCTAACTTACTGTCAGTCAGGGAGGCATTAAGATCTCAACTGCTGGTGGCAGCGAAACAGGAATCACGTAGACAGGAGTTACATTTACGAAGGACTGGCCTGTTGCTCTGGTTGTCTTGGTAGCTACCAAAAGAGAAAGCTTCCCGGGCAGGTTAGCACTAGAAGAAGAAAAGAGGGTACCTGACCAAGCAGAGCACCAGTGTGGAGAAACGTATTTTTATCAAGGCCCTGAACAATCCCATGCCCTTCCGATACGATAGGGAACACGTTCAACTCTGGGCAGCTCAGTGACATAGCATAAAGTGCAAACAGCAATACTTAAATGCATTCTCCACACCTGGCCCTTCATCCCCTCCCATGCTTTTTGCCTCTGCCAAGCACTGAAATAAACCTGCAGGCTTTAACACTGCACCCACTTGTTATTTTAAAGGCAATTAATGAAATCATACTGGAATCACCAGGAAAACCACTCCCAGGAGGCCCTAAGAGGAGGAATTACTATTTAGCTCATGCATTATTGCTGCTCACGAAGCCTGCAGCAATTAGGCAGATTCCTGCTCTGAAAAACCATCTTTACGGCCCGTTTTTCATGTTAGATTAGCTCCTTGAACTACATTTCATTGCAAACCTTGTGGGCATTTCTGCAGTACCTCCTCCTCATGCAGGCAGCCATGAGCCCTGAGCGCAACGAAGAAACGATTCATCTCCTAAATATTACATGAGGAAGGCCAAAAAGAGGAAGAATTTATAACAAGCTAATGAGTCCAATCTCTCTAGGAGACAGGCCTCCTGCCCCATCACCCCCATGGTTATTAGCTAAGCTTGCTGTTTACCTCCAAGCGAGTAGAACTCCCCTGACCAAGCTGTATTTGTTCTTGGCCTCACAAATGCATCTCTGAGAAATAAGGCATTAATAACACTTATAGCAGATTTATTAGGCCAAGAAGCAGGACTTGTCAGGTCATGAGAAAAGGAGGAAAGAGAAAAGGGGTCTCTGCCACTGCTGGCAAGGACAGCAAGCTCTCCGATGAGATCTGACAAACGAGAACTAGCAAATGGTCACGGAGGGGCCGTTTCCCACCTCTCTACCACAAATTAATCCCCTGCAACAGAGAGGAGAGAAAGGAATGTGGTCTATCCTGCATTGGACCTGCACTACTGTCGCCAGTTTCTTTAGATGGTGAGGGAGGTGTTCTCTCCCCTGCTCCCCCAGCTAGCGAGGCTAGCTTCTGGAAAAGGAGCCAACTGGGCTCTGCAACACCTCACCCAGTTGCAGCTGTTTGAGTCCGAGGTCAGGACGCAGCCAAGGGACACTCCTTTTCTCTCTTTCCCCAGCTAGATTTAGGCATCCCTGCCATGACCAAGTGCTGTAATCAGCTGGACGTTTGTTACGACACCTGCGGGGCCAACAAATACCGCTGCGATGCCAAGTTCCGCTGGTGCCTCCACTCCATCTGCTCCGACCTCAAGCGCAGTCTCGGGTTCGTCTCCAAGGTGGAAGGTAGGCTTCCCAGCTTGCATCCCCTGTGGAGGGAACAAGCAATGTCAGGGAGAGGAGGGAGTGCGCAAGGACCCCTTTCCTTGCCAAAAGCAGCAAAAATCTGCAGTAGGGAGCAGCACATCTGTCCTGTGCTTGTCACAGATGGGTCAGAGATGAGTGAGAACACTGAGATCTGTCCTCTCCACACACTCTTCTGCCCCAAGACTGGAGAACTAAAATTATTTACATTTGGAAAACATTACAAAACACATGCGGAAAGAAAAAAAAAAACAAACAACAAAAAACCCCTAGAAGCAATTCCTTCAACCCTTGGATGCCCTCCCTGAGAGTTCAAATACCTTCACGGGAGACCAAAAAGCCTTCCAGAGCCAGTATGCCACACAGTGAAACCTGTACGTGGCCAAGGGCCAACAAACTGGGAGAGCCAAGGACAAGGGCTCTCCAGGATCTGGTTCACAGATAAGAGATGACGATGGCACCAGGGACACACCACAGCATGGGTGGTGGCTGAGCAATCGTGGGGAGACCTGGATTGTTCAGAAGCCCCTGTGCTAACAAAGTTCTAGTGATGTGTCAGCAGCTCAAGAATCACCGTGGTTTTGCCTAATTTTAAAAGCCTCAGTCTGCAAGTTTGAGAAGAGCATTTTGGTGAAGGTTGCATTTGGTAACCTCTGTGAAGGTTACACATGCAATAGCCCAAGCCTGCCTCTTGACCCTCTGTGCCAACATCAAGCACCTCTGCACTGTGTGAGGAAGGGGAAACATCTAACCTGATCTCCTCCTATGACAAGGGGACCTTCTTAGTGGATGAGGGAAAGGCTGCAGATGTTGGGATCGGTCTCTTCTCCCAAGTAACCAGTGACAGGATGAGAAGAAATGGCCTCAAGTTGCGCCAGGGGAGGTTTAGATTGGATATAGGGAAGAATTTCTTCACCGAAAGGGTTGTCAGGCACTGACACAGGCTGCCCAGGGAAGTGGTGGAGTCCCCATCCCTTGAGGTATTTGAGAGACGTGTAGATGTGGCGCTTAGGGACATGGTTTAGTGGTGGGCTTGGCTGTGCTAGGTTAATGGTTGGACTCGATGGTCTTTCAGGTCTTTTCCAGCCTAAATGATTCTATGATTCTATACCAGAGGTCAGCTGTGGCAGGAAAGCCTCCCCCAGGCTGCTCCTCCTGACGCCATTTCAGAGTGTCCCCATCCCCTGTAAGGCAGGTATCCATCTCTTGCAGAGGGGCTCTGCAGCAGTAACGCAGGACAGGCAGAGATAAGACCTTCCAACAGTAGATGACAGTGAAACAGTTAAAGATCTTTACAGGAGCTCCGGTCTGAAAAACTGGCAGAGCCCTTGGGAACGAACAGCCCATTCCCAAAGCTGAATAAAACTGGTGGTGCTGCTCAGTTTCTCGCAGCTAATTGCAGCCAGCCCCTCCAGGTTCATCCCCACTGCTGTAAGGTAATAGTTAAATACACATTTGTTTTCCAGAGGTGCAGCCTGATTAGGACACACTGGCAAGTCTGCATGACACTGGTACTACTGCAGATAGCTTTCTACATTGACACACAAACGTTTGGAAAGAGAAGCAAGAAAAAAGAAAGATGTGGACTGAGATACAAGTGCTACAGGCCAAGTACAGCCAGTCTTTCATGGCCATCCTTATCTACAGGTCCTCGTGCAGCCAACCTCTTCCTATCTCTTCAGAGTGTCCCCTGGCAATTTTTCACTGCCTGCAGCAGTGAAGCAAACAGATAGATCCTAGGGACTTAAGGTGGAGCAGCACCTACGCTCCTTGGTTGAGCCAAGCCACCTCTGCCTATAGTCAAGTAGGTCTAGATGCCTCCAGCATCTCCGTCCTGGTTGTCGCAGGAGGCAAAGGTAGTTGCTAACACGAAGGAACTTCTGAGCCATCCGCTCCTCCCCTTACTCTGCCTCCTCTTGCCTTGTGCTCCTATACCTGCCGTTCCCTGTCCTCAGGGTTGCTCTGAGCAGCTCCTGTCACACAGTCCTCCTCCTCCCCCACTGCCATCCCAGTTCTTATCTGGGATCCTTTCCATGGAGTCACCAGGAGAGAAAGCAGGCAGGAAAAGAGCAACTGCACTCCCTTCACGTGGGCACAAATATCCCAGTCTGCAGCAGTGGCAGTTAACTAAAGCCTTGGTTTTCCTACTGACTCACTACACCCTCTCCAACACCTGCCAACGGAGCAGCAGGAGGAGAGCGAGGTGCCTGGAGAGGTTGAGATGGGAGGAGACAGTCCCAAAGGCAGGGCTTTCCCAAATATATTATGCACACAGCAATTAACATTAGTGCCAGCGAGTAAACCCTGGAAGACCTGATATTAACCTATTTATTTATCGACAAGCAGTTTCAGGCGAGAAAGAAGGCGGGTTAGGGAGGAGAGAAGTTCTGGCCTTATTGGTGTCACCCTAGGGAGAAGAGAGCCCCCAGCTCAGCAGAAGGGAACCTCTGGATTTATAAAAATGCAATACCCAGAGAGAATACGATAGCCC